GAAACCATCAGCCAGTTGTAAGCTTCTTGTATCCATATCTGGGTCTAAATGGGATAAAAAAATCCCAAGACTTCAGCATTATTTTAATGGATTCTCCCAGAAGAATTTGTCTAGACTATTAAAATACCCTGTTGCCAAATGGGAGCTGGAGGAAAAAACAACAACAACAACAAAAAATCTTGTGGTTATTGTTTCCAGACAATGATTTGTGTCTTTATTTTTCACGGCCAATAGGTCGACCAAGCGTAGTGCTGTCCGTCTTCATAATTTGAATAATCTCAAATCAGAACTCTCATGGGTTATCGAAGCAGGCCACCGGTGCTGTGTAAATACATTGCTGTAATGCACCAAGAAACTTCTTCATGAAGCCTTTTGTAATCACTTATCTAATTTATTTAGATTGAGGGGTTGTACTGTAAACAATAATCAGTGGTAAACAAGGTAAGATTATCGCTATAATCCATTTTTAAAAGCTAGAGCAATGCCTAGATCGCCTGTTATCACCATGCAACCTACCCTGTCTTTACTGTGCTTTGCAGTACCGTTGCAGTGCTCAAAATAGTAAGTTACATGAAAAAAATAAAAATCTTTAGGAGAAACTAAACCACTGAGCCCCTTGGAGTGCTGCTGTGGGCTTTGCAGAGATTCTGTGTGCGGACCCGAGCCCGGGTACAGCCTGTGCTTTACTCCAGGGCTGAAACACAAGGGGAAGGACTCTGTTGGTTTAGGATAATGTTCTTCTTGGTGTTCTGAGCAAGACTGCATTGCTTGGTGGGGTTGGGTTTTCTTCTGATTCACCAAAAACAAAACACTACGAGGCAAGTTTAATTTCCACAGCATGACTTCTGCATTTCTCCAGATGATACCATCAGACATATCTTGGCTGTTTTATCCAGCATTGCACATTCCTGTTCTGTGACCGCTCAGTTCCTCCAGCTGCAGTGAGACTCCTCCAGTCGTGGGGATTTCTGTTGCCATCAACCATCGTTCCTTTACCGAGTTGTACCCCACTAGAAACACACACAAGTTGCATTTAGTCCCCAGGTCCCACTCAGCTGTGCTGGGTCATGTTTGCTGGACTAAGGCTTTGCAAGACGTGCTCCATGTCGTTAACTGGTCAGGAGGCGTGCTTCTGACTGGGAAAGGGGATGGAGGGTCTGCGAGCCGATCAACCCGCCTTTGCTAGCGGAAAGGCTTTGTTTACAGCCGTTGGTCTCCTGTTGTGAAGGGCAGATGACAAATGGGGTCGGGCTAGCCCCATGGTTAGATGACATTCATGGGAATTATTCATCTCTGATTGTTGTGGTGAGGTCATGTGCTGTGTCCCATGCTATGCCGCTCTGCCAAGAGATTTATTTTAATAGAAGCCTTTAAGTAACTGGCATTCTTGCTAATCATGGTGCATCTGCTTCTCTGGGTTCCCTGTTATGAGTAATTTAATGCTTTTATTTTAGCTAGAAGGGATCTGTGTCACCATCTGCCCTGGAAAGCTATTGATGGGGTTGTGAGGAACATGGAGTGTCAGCAGCAGGAGAGAGGGACTTGTAAAGGGATGACGGGATTTCCTCTTGTAATACAATATAAGATGGTTTACTGTGATTACGGCTTAGATAACCTGCATATAAAACCTGTTAGCTGCTCCTTGATTCTGTTGGGGACCATTCCTCTGATATTTTTATAGAGGGAAGATGCTGTCGTCAGTACCAAGTAGGAATAACGCAGATAATCTGCCAAATAAAGTCTCTGCTTCTCGTGGGGGCACGGATCTCCGAGACCGAAACCTTCAAGACTGACCCTAAAATGCCAGCACATCTGCCACTGCCAGCAGGCCCGTGCTCTTTGGAGAGGGCTTGCCAGCCACTTCTCAAGCCAAATGCTTTCCTAATCAATGGTTATTTTTTAATTGTTGTTTACAGCCCACTTCCTTGGAACAAGCCCTCTCCATGCCGTAGCTGAGTCACAATAGACGTGAAGAGGCTCTAGGGCTGAAAAGCAAATTGCTCTTCACGTCCCTGAGTGGTGTACTTTCACTTACGCACAGAGTATCATCCTGGTTTCTCAAGAGCGTGTGGCTGAGGTCTTTGTATTGTCTGAGAAACGTGCCTTCTTGTCTTTACGACTGGTTAGTAATTGTACGGTTCACCATCCAACCTGACTGGTTCGGTCCTTCCTGACCTCCCTGCGGCTTGTTGCCTTGTCGGCAAGCTAATCGATACGAGAGCGTGCAGGGCTGGGAAGCGCTTTGTGTGGGTTTATCGTGTGAAGTTTTTCTTTGATGGTTCAATCCTTCCCACCCATCGGTTATGTTGGGTTTGGAGTATGAACTGGCCTGACTGAAACGTCCTGCCTCAAAAGATAACGTGGGATAAAAATTTAGCAGCTCTGATGTTTTTGTCATGCAAAGGTGCAGCTCTTATTTCACATTCATCTAAGAAAATGTTCTTGCTGTCCCTTGTGTCTTCTGTAGATAAGTGACAAGCAGGAGGAATGCGTAGGGCCAAAATTTGCTTAAGGTTTGCAACTGGGCAAAAGAGGCTGTGGGCTGGAGCTGGTCATCTGGACAGGCTGAAGGAGGAAGCACGCCCTGCACTCAGAACAGGGCTCATGGTCTCCTGCAGGTACATGGAAATGAAAAAAATAAACAGAAATCAGAAGTGGGATATAACTGAGACTCTCCACAGAAGTCAGTTCAATTTGGGTTTTTCCCTCCTTCCTTCCCTCACAGCATGTTGGGACCATAATGTCGGGCCACCCGTCGCATCTCCAGCGACCAGATGGCTCTGGCTGGGCAGCCGAGTGTTGGCGTTACCGCGTCGTGGGGAAAAGCTGCTCGTGGAAGAGTTCATGTGAAGCCAAAACTGGCCGGTCTTGCAGGGTCACCAGGGTTCTGGCTGTAGGATGGGAACCAGGCAAGTCATCTTCCTGCAGAGAGATTTTGTCAAAATGGGCTAAATGGGGGAAAGAAAAGCGATGAATGTTAGAGTGAGCGGTGCGTGTCTGTGCTCCAAACCCAGAGCCTCTGGAGAGCATCAAGGGGTGGAGAGCTGTCAATGGAGGAGAAGGCAAAAGGCATAGCTCAGATGTAGCTCTGGAAGGAAGGGTATGAAGTGGCACTCTGAGAAAGCAAGCCTACAGGGTGTTTTTATCCATTCTCATATCAACCGTGGCTATTAGAACAAGGAGACATCTTCAGTGTTTTGGTTTTTCAATGCAATACAAGCATTTGTAGATCTGGGAACCAGGTTATTCTGTGTAGGTCTGGCTTGGCACAGTCCTAGGAGGTACTGAATCCACTCAGTGCTGGGGATTTCTTCTGAAATTTAAAAACTACTGACAATGTTTTGGTCCCAAATAAGGACTTACAGATTTGCCTTGGAATTGCTGGTAACCGCGCAATGTAGGATGGAGTTTTAAATCTAGCTGATGTAAGGTTCTACCTGTGATAATTTGGCATGAAGAGATTTCCTCTCCTTACGATTTCCGTGTGCTTATACCATATAATAAAACTCTAGATCTCCATAATTTGTATCAGCTGTTCAGAGCAGATGCTGTGCTGTTATTCTGTCTGATACATTCTTCATGCCTGCTGGGTTACTGCCTTTTTCCAAGACCTTTGAATTAGCTAGATTTTTGGGTCATCAAGATTATTTAATGTTATTGTCATAAATATTTGTACAGGACTTGGTCAGTGCTTATATAAGAGCTGAAAGACAGTGATTTGTTTTAAGAGGATGTGTGTTTTAATGAACTGCCAGCTGAAAGTCAGATATAAACTGTGAAAAAGTGCTTTTCTTTCACAGGACTATTGCAGTTTGTAGAGTGGGAAAAAAAGGACTATTTAGATTGTCAGTTATTCTGAATTGTTGGTTACAGCTGTTTAAATTTAAAATCACTTGAGAGCTCTTTAAAAAGAGGACTACTTGCTTCTAAATAGCTGTGTTGGCTTATCATCGTGTCCTCAAAAGTTGAGAAGTTGATCTCTTGCATCTTATTAATTGTTTTCTGTTAAACCATTAACATGGTTTGAATTGTTTGTATGACAAAAATGGGAGGTGGTTATTGTGTTAAATTTCACAGTTGATTCTTGCATAGAATTCCTTTCTTTTTTTTCTTAATTTCCAAAGTACTATCCTCCCAAATACAAACAATAGACTCCAAATGCTCACAATATGAATCTGTTGTTTGGAATGATGAAGGTTATACATCATCCAATCTGCTGAAATGTGTTACAAATGGATAAATATTTGCTTTGCCTCTAGCTCTTCTTAGAAGTGCTGGAATTAGTATTTTTTTTTTTTGAGGGAATTTTTGCCAGCTTTCTCAATGAGGAACAGTCCTACAAATAAGCCAAAATATGGAGGCTGCCAGGGGGTGCTGTGTGCGTTCTGGCAAACTTGGGTTGTTTCTTCTAAATATCTTAATTAGCAGAGCATAGTCCCCAAGCTGTTCTTGGAGAGCTGCTGCTCTGCCAGACCGCAAGCGACAAGCCCCCAAATCTTGTGGGTTTAGGTCATTAGAAGAGTCTTTAGTACTGCGATGTTGCGCCGAGCGTGTGTATGATTCTTCACGCTGATAAACCACCACAAGAATGTGCCAAGTTGGACAAACTCCCCTTCGCCGTGTCATCCGCTGATGTGAAACCTTTTTGTGCTGTTGGGTGGCTCCCAGCTGGAGCCAAGGTTTCGCGTGTTGTCGGGAAGAGCCGTGTGTAACCGGTTGTAGGAGCAGGAGTTGATGTGTCATTGGGTCTCCATTCAAACTGTGTCTTAGTGTCTAAATCCAGATTTTTACGGGATCCCTAATAAATCAGATTGCTGTTCCTGTGTTGGCCAGGTGAGTCTAAATCTTCATAATCTCTAGGTTTGGGTGCCGCTCTGGTTCTGTCGGTATGAAGCACTGCTCCAAAGGAGTCCCAGAGACCATCCCCAATGTTCCTGTGCTTTGAGACCTTGGTATGTCCAATGCTCTGGATTAACAATGTGATCTATTTTCCCTTTCAGAAAAAGAGCAGAGAGGAGACATGCGGGGAAGGCAGCGGAGTAGAGATCCTGGAGAACAGACCGTACATGGATGGACCGGGAGGCAACGGGCAGTATACGCACAAGGTGTACCACATCGGCATGCACATCCCCAGCTGGTTCCGGTCCATATTGCCCAAGGCAGCTCTGCGAGTCGAAGAGGAATCGTGGAATGCATATCCTTATACGAGGACCAGGTAAAATTTATCAAGGTGTCCAGAGCTGTCTCCCTGCTTTACAGAGAGGATTTGGTGTCATTCTGTGCAGTGGTGGCATCTCTTCCATCTCCGGTAATACCCTTTAGAGAAACTGGGGTCACGTCCTGAAATTCTTACACGGTGCTTAATGCCTGAGCTGACTGCGTACGTACTTGAGAATTTGTGGCTGTTTCGTCCATCAGAGCATGGGAATGGTTTTTATTTCATCTTGTATCCTGCACTGCACATTCTACTTCATAGCATGGGAATGGTTTTTATTTCATCTTGTGTCCTGCACTGGACATTCTACTTCACGTTGCAGATACCTGCTAGCTCAGGGAAGTTATAAATGTACACGGTGAGGGGAAGGTTGTCATGTTGAACACTGTCAGGTAAGACAGGATTCATTTGTTTCAGGGAGGGAAGTGTGGGGAGAGAAGAAATAAAAATAAATCTGGTGCTGCTTTTCTGGGTACTTAGTGTCATTTAGCTAGAAAATAATAAACCTACATCCTATGGTTTTCACCCTGAGAAGGGAAGAGAGCCAGAGGCACTGCGGAGCCCTCTGGGACCTCCTCGTCTCAGCTGGTTTTTGCCTGGGAGGACTTTCAGATAGCCTGGAATAAATAGCCTTTGTGCCAGTTACTTGTTTAAAGTGTTTGGAATAAATAGCCTTTGTGCCAGTTACTTCTTGTTTAAAGTGTGTGCCTTTCTCCAGGTTCACAAGTCTGATATTGCTGTCATCCTTCATAATAAAACAGCTTTAATGGACATTTTGGTTTTTATCAAAAATCTAGAAAAGTTTCATAGTTCTGTTTTAACTGGTGTCTACAGGTGACATTATCTGGGGAAAGGTGGGGAGCCAGTGTCTGCACACGGGCAGTTACTCATGGCTAAATATAATGGAGCTGTCTGACTTTCAGGTGATTAAAGTCCACTTCCAGTCTCTTTTTATCTATTCTCTTCAAACGCCTGTGAGTCAATAAGTTGTCCAGGAAACCTGGCCCTGCGCAGAATCAGTCCATATTTTATTCTGTCGCAGATTCCAGGCGTGAGCTCTGCTTGTCTCCTGGAAGAGATGCATTTCCAGGGTGTCCTTGTGTTACATCTGTGTCGTACCTGCAAGGATAACATAACTCATCAGTACAGCAGACCCAAAAGCTCTGTCCTTGCTGAGAACTGCTCCTGTGAAAACAGCCTGTCCTGACAATCTGCTCCTGCAGCAAACATTGTGAAGTTGCAGGTTTTTGTCAGTATCTCTGCAAAATGAGATGACTTGGTGGTCCCCTGGGGCTTTCTGCATGCTTGTGGCCAGCTGGGAGGTTGTTTCTTGGTCAATGTGGGTGCCCAGCCTCCAGTGATGGTGTGGGGTGCGTCGTACCCCGTGTGCCCCTCGCTGCACGGCCAGCACAGCGCCTGGCTGGGGGGATACTAAACCAGAGCTCTTCCCGTGAAGCCACATGGCCCAGGCGAGCTCCTGCCTTAAGACATTATTGAAGAAAATCTCTTTAATCCGTACAGTTGGTATTTTAAGCATATCTGAAGTAAAACACGAGTCAAGGCTGGCTTGGATTTGAGGCTGATTTTGTGCATTTTAGGAAAGCGGTTTTTGCGCTTGCGAAGCCGAGCGGGGTTTGCTCTGAGCTGCATTGTTCTCCTTTCCAGGTACACGTGTCCTTTTGTGGAGAAGTTCTCTATTGATATTGAGACGTACTACAAAACCGATCCGGGAGAGCATGTCAACGTGTTCAACCTTTCTCCTGCAGAAAAAAGACAAACCATTCTAGGTGAATAGCCTTTTTCTTCTACTATTTCCTTTAATCTGCTTTTTTTTTTTTTTTTTTTGGCTATGTGAAGGGTTTTTCTTGGTATGTCCCATCTCCCTGTCCCATTGTCCCCTAAACACACAACCGCACCCCTGCTGGTGTCAGGCTTCAGGGCAGGGTTACATCAAGTAGAGTGAGGACATCCGAGTGCTCTTCTAGGCTTGATGGAAATCATATGGAAATCCTTTGAATCCCCCGTTTGTAAGATCAAGCTGATGCTTTCCTGTCTTATTTGTGCAGCCCCTGAAGGGAGTAAGACATCTGATGATTTGGAGAGTAATAAGTAGAAACAGAAGAAGAAAATATCGCTGTGTAATGGTGTAGCTCCTTTGTGTATATGAAAACCATTCCTGTGTGCACTTCTGCAACATGAAGATGTATTTCATTTTTCTTTTATCTCCTTTTAGTCTTACCCTCACGCAGGTTAACGCTTCAGCCTTGCAGCTGTCCTTAGAAGACTGAGTTAATGAGCCTTATGTATGTAAGGATTTAATGAGAAAAGGCAAAAGGGAACACCTGGTAAAAAGGCAGAGAATGGCAAGTGTCACAGCGGTTCCTCTGTCTTGGTATCATGATGCGTGCCCATGGAGACCCAGCTGCGTGGCAGGGAGTGCTGGCGGTTACAGCCGCCCAGGGCTGAAGCATCCCTTGCTCTGAAGCCGCTGAGGCAGGAGAAGTGTGGAGCTCAGGCTGAGCTCTGGCAGCCCCGTGCTGTGGTGGCTGCAGTGGGGGCTCTGGGGAAGGACATTAGCGGCTGCTCTGGCTCCTTGAGCGCTGTTGACATGCAGGACGTGGTATGAACCCTGTGCAATTTCGGTTGAGTGTTACTTGATTTGAGCTTCTTTGTTTTGAACTTCAGTTTGACTGTCCTGGTTCCCAAGCCTGTCTGATCAGGCGTGCCGTACTGCACAAATAGGCTTGAGTCACGCTGCCTCCTGGAGAGGTGTCGGGAGAGCTGTCATTTCTTGTGAAGTGCGATCCTGCTCTTCAATCCAAACTTGAGATGCTTCTGCTGAGGTCTGGGGTAGAGGTTGCAGATCTTCAAAATGTGCTCGTTCGCTGCCCTTCCGTTGCAGTTCCCACTTCTCCATTGTTGAAGTGCTAATTAGGACAATTTGGACTTTGTGCCTGCTGGAGAACATCTGGTGTAACAATAGGAGTTTCCAGTAACCTCCCTTGATGGACTCCAGAGATAAGATGTTCAGTGGGTAATGGCTTTTCCATAACAGCGGAAGGGCAGGTGTGTGTAACCGTCTCGGATAGAGCTGGCGCACTGTGAGTGATGTTAGAAAAGCCGAACGATGGAAAGTGCAAAAGATCGTTTTGGAGCTAGGAAGATGGAGTGTGCAGATCTGCCGGAGTGCTGCGGATCTGCCATCACCGTGGGCAAAACCATCTATTTGGAGCAGAGCCTCTGTTTGCAGGAACTGTGTGTACTCGCTCCTCTGGCAGAGCTGCTCGCTGCCCAGAAGCAATGTATAAACAATTTAAATATCAGTTGTTTAAGTGTAAGTGGAAAGAAACTAAATGGCTGTAATGCTTCTGGTAGTTGCTAAAACAGAAATAACTGTTGAAAAATGGTATTTTCTTCTTTTGTTCAGGGAAAGGAAGTGTCTAACTGTTTCTATTCTCTCTCCGTAGATCCTATTGATATTGTTAAAGATCCTATCCCTCCACACGAATACAAAGCTGAGGAGGATCCAAAGCTGTATAAATCAGTGAAGACTAAAAGAGGCCCCCTCTCAGAAGACTGGATTCAAGAGTACAAGAACAACCCTGGGAAATACCCCATCATGTGTGCATATAAACTGTGTAAAGTCGAGTTCAGATACTGGGGGATGCAGTCGAAAATTGAGCGGTTTATCCATGACGTTGGTGAGCATCTCTAGTCTTGCAAAGTTCACTGCCAAGTCCTTAATGTTGTTTCTGAAATACAAAGGTGAGGTACATGCGATGTATCATATCCCAAGACATGTCTGCGGTGAGATTCTCAGATATGATTGCTTTTGCAAAGCTGTGGGGCAGTTCAGAAAAAAACTGTGTTATTCTATCGCTTATAATCGTGGTTTGTATGAATCCAAACCACATGTAGCCACTGAAAGGGTGTCAAGTCCCGTGTAGGCGAGAACTTGGATACTCTCTTTTTTAGAGAAGGATTTGTCTGGTAAACTTTGCCAGGTAATTTTCAAAATCTGCCAGTTTTCTTTATTGTGAACAAAATCCTGAAGGGCTGCTCGGAGAAATAAGCTTCACTTCTGAGTCCTAAGTGGCTCCAGAAAACCACTCCCTGGAGAGTCCTTAGTTTCTACCCACCTGGAGGCAGCCCTGGGGGGTCTCTGTGTGGCCGTACATCTCTGTCCCCCAGGCTGTGGTGCTCAGGGCTGCCCACCTCACTGGGCTAGAACCCACCGTGGGTCATCGACAGCTCTCGGTTGTGAGTAAATGTGCCGCTTTGATTGATGCGTCGTGCTTAGGTCGATGCTTTTAAGGAGGTATTTGTGTCCCAGATGTAGCTAAGTGGAGACAGTCCAGGTAGTAGCAGAGCTGGCAGTAATTTGTTCTTTGCAGGAAATCTATAACGCAACTGATAGTTTCTGAGTCTTGCCACAGGAGACACGATCTATGGCCAGGTGGAAAACTTAGAGTGTTTTAAAGAAACATTCCCATCTCAAAAAAATAAAATGCAGAGCTATGGCTGTCCTCTGGCAAAGAAAAGGCCAAAGAAAGGCTGTGTCAAGGATGCTACCTGCTTTCTATGCACAGTAAATCTTCCTGCATGAGCTCTATAGCTGTCCTTTCTCTATGCAAAGCTTCTATCAAGTGCCTGATGCTGGCACAAATAATTTCATAGCTCTCTTCAGTCGTACTGTGCTCCTGAGAGCTCATGTGGGAAACACGGACAGAGCGGTGGAGGATGGTGTGCACTGCTGGGTGAATAGCCACAGGTCACTTTTTTTAAAGCTCCTTTGGTTTTACTTTACCCCGGATGGAATTTTTTACCTGTTACAGACCGTATTACAAGTGGCTCTCTGCAATGAACTCCCTTGGCGTGCGGTGCCATGGGTTAATTTAGTGTGTGCTGCAAAACATGGGGGCAGAATAACAACTCCGTTGTGTCCGTTAAATCAAAAAGAAGCATGTGACTCTTCCAGTTGTTCAGAGGTGTTTGGCATAGATTAAACCGTGGTCCCTTAGAAATGTTTCTTTTGTGTTTTCCTGACAGCCTGCCTGCCATTTTCCTCTTGATTGAGGTTTTGCAGAGAGCCAAGCCAGCTCATTGTCTGCTTTTCAAAAGCCTTTCCACTCTGTTATAATGATGGCAAATACAGTTTTTCAAAGTGGTTAAGATGCATAAAATCAGAAAAGCCTTTAAGGCAAGACAAAGCCGAGGGAGTGAAAAGCGAAAGCAAAAGCTTTGGGCATCTGCAGAAGCTGTGCAGCCTCCCCCTGCAATGGGATGACCATGGGGAAGCTGTTAGCGACTGGAAAAGTGCCAGGGCACGTGCACCAAAGACAGCAAGGGATGAGGATGTTTGAGTTGGAAGGACATGGGCTGTGACATGACTGACCAGGCTTGTACACTGATCCCAGGTTTGGGGTTTCAGCTGGTGACTCAGAGCAGATGGACACTTGTGTGTGTTGTGCAACCAGAGCATGGACCACACTGCCCAGTGCCAGAGGTGTTCTTGTCACCTGTCCCTCCTTGGCATTTTTCTTCTGGTTCCTCTCTTCCTAGCTCCTGCAAATTTGTTTCTTGGGAAATTAGCACTGTCAAGCCAGAAAGAAAAGCCAGGCAGAAACCAAGAGCAGCATCCAAACTCTACCCAAGGTGGGAAGCGGTCCTTAGTGGTGCACACTAAAATTAGAGAATGGCTTGAAGGAAGAACGCGTTCGAGTTAAGTGACGGATGGATTGTGATATGTAGAAAAGCTACTGAGCGCAGAGGGAGTAACTCTGGGGGACGGTGTTGAAATGTTCTGTCTTGCTGAGCGCAACAGCCATTTTTTCTGATGACTAATTGGACAGTTACTCAGTGCTTTGACAGCCTGAGACACAGACTGAAATTGTGGGCTATTAGTCTACTTGGCTGTAATATTTGTATGCTTTTTTACTCCTTTCCCAAGAATTCTAAGTTTAATTGGACTGGCACTGCATAATACTCTGCTCCCACTTGCTTCCTAATGGTGCACATGGGCTGCGATTCTCTTGCTGTTCAACAAGTGTTGGCTGTTGCGTAGGGGTTGTTGGTTCGGTATGACAGCAAAGCGTGTTCCCGTCCCAGGAACTGGAGCTTTGTCTAAGCCGGTGCGTCTTAGGCTAAATGTGCCCAAATTGTTGCACAAGAATAAAGTGGGGGAGGTTTTAGAAAACTCTTTTGCAGAACTTTTGTTTCACTTAAGCCCTCAAATGGGAAGTTCATCCAGAAGGACGCAGCCCGGTGGGACCTGCAGCTAGAGGCTTCTGCAGGGCAGGTTGCAGATAGCACGTGGATGTGACCATGGGCTCTTCATCGTGAACGGTCTGAGCAAGGGAAGAAGGGAAGGTGGGGAAGCAAGATATAACAGATATAACTGCAGGTTACCTTTGATCGGATACATTCAGACAACCAGAACAGTACTGCTGAGGTTACGGGATCTGCTGTGACTCTCGAGGAAATAGCATTGCAGAAGGAAATTCAGGCATCCTTTATCTGCTGCCAGGAAATTGTGAGAGTGCATTTTGAAATGCTTTGGAATGTTGCCACTGGGTACATAGTCAATGGGCATCTGCACAGTTGCTTTATATAGATAGTTGAGGGGGTTTGGGCATGATTTGGTGGTGGGTTTTTTGTTTTGTTTCATTTTTTCGTTGAGCTTTTGTTTCAGTTACTATTTTTACTTCAATTTGAAAAAAAAAAAAAACCAAACCCCAGAACTATAAGCAAAAGCTTTTTAAATTCAGCTAAAGAGTCCTCTCTGTCTTGGCGTGTCTCATGGTCATTTGCACTCCTTTTGTGAGATTAAGTTCAACGCCGCATCACAGGCAAATCATTTACAAGAGTCAGCACCTCATAGATTCAGCCAGTGCTGCAGCAGAGCTGTGGAGGTGGCAAGTTGAAAGGCGAAGTGATTTAAATG